CTATCTATACTTATTTTTTATATTTATATTTGTCGTAGATTTTTTGTTTACATTTTTTTAATGTTATTTTGTTCTTTTTTACTCTACTTCTAATTTTATTATTTTTTTTTATTGTTTTACTTTATGCTTTTAGTTGCAACTTTTATTTGAAGCACCCTTTAAATTAATGTAAAAATGCATACACAAGTTCTGATGCGAATAATAAACGTTTACATAATTTTAAATTTTACGGCAGGAAACATTTTGAAAATAAATGTGAAAATATTAAGATTTAAATGAAACTCCCATAAAAAATGCCATGAGTGAGAATGACTTAAATTTGAAAGTACATATGTATGTACATAATTAGCGATTGCTAATTTTTTTCTTGTCAAATATTGTTTCTCTTTTTGTCTTGATAAAAGAAACACAAAGCACTTAACACTCGACACAGTAATTTGTTTGCCTTCTAATTTGAACGGTTTTTCTGTTTCCGGTGGAGTTAAGTATAATTAATGTAGAGACCTTAAATTTTTATTTACGAAAAAAAAAGGTTTCTAATTATACAATCACAAAAAACTAACTTTCATCGCTACTACTTACATATATCAAAAGCAGCAACTGAAAATTGTTAATCACAATGATTTACTCCTTCTTATTTGGCACCACAACCGCAAGTGCATGCACCAAATCGAATCTCATTATAAGCCCTGACTAAGAAAGGTTAGACCGGCTTTCCAAAGAGAAGAGTTTTTAGATGTTAAATCATTATTCACCACCAATTCGATATCCTTTACGTGTCCTAAACTTGTCTATCCTTAGTAAGATACTTTCGCCCCATATGCAGATGGTATTTCGCCAATCAGGAAATTTTATGTATAGCTTTAAACTAGCTGCCAAACACCCGTTCGCTATATAGTTCGCGCCTACCTTTACTGGGTACAAAATATACCTGGACTCAGAAATCATGACAGTTGGTTTCTATACACTTTATCAATCCAAAAAATAAAAAATTTTAGCAAATAAACAAATTCGTATTAATCCAGTAAATATATTTTCGCAAGTGCACGTATTTACTGAGTGCTAAAAAGCTTTCCTTCGAATCGCTGAAAGGTGCTACACAACCGATTTATTGCTCGATTATTGCCACTTAATAAAACTCATAAAAATACATATGTACATATATGTATGTATATGTATTTGCACGAAAAAAGTATGTTATTAAAGCAGCCTTACTGTTAAAAATTGCTAGCGTGTTTGTGGACTTTTTGCATATAATATATGTAGATACATAGTATATTAGTCGCTAAACACACAATTCCACTCGTCAACAATAAATCAAATAGATACCGTTGGAGTAATTGAAAAGCCAAATCTTCACATGAACATTGCGAATATCTAATAGCGAATACAGTTGATTTTATTATGGTTTGCTATTTAATGACTTTAAACACAAACCCAAAACGAAATAAATGAAATTCGATAAATGAATTAAGGTATTGAATGAGCGCGTTGAATGATCAATTTATTTGCCAATTACATGCATCAATCACAACAAATAGAGTCATATAAAATGTGTTTACATACTTATTTAGCTCCTGGTTAGTTAGATTGATTTTCGCTAACGATTTTTGAAATTAGGCTCATATATATTTTTCGTTTTGATTTTTTCTGTTTGCTAACAGCAAAATAATAAATATTGTGCCTTGTAGCTATTAACATTGGCGCGCAAATCGCAAGCAACAGCGATTTTTCACATTCAAGTGGGAAATTAGCTAGCGATAAATGCACGCTTTACACGATCAAAAATAAATAAATAGTTCGAACTAAGTAGGTATAATAATAACAATAAACAGTTATAGTAACTGTATAGTATTTACTCAATTTGCGAAACGCTCACCCAAAATATGCCCTAAAAGTGGGTTTTCGTTCGATTTTTAAATTGTAACATTTTATTAGATAATCATCTTTTTTTGATGTTTGCCAAGAATAACAAATTTTATAAGCGATTTTTAACTTAAGTTTGAGTGCTAAGCAATTTTAATCCGCAATAGCTCTAATAGCAATAATTTCAGCCAGTCTACCCCTTCTGTTTATAATAGCCCTGCAGGAAATGGGACTAGTTTGTAGCTAACTATTAACTAACTAGCAGTCGACTTGTGCGTAACTTTTGAAGGGCGATGGCCGCAAAATAGTGATCCCTGGTTTCCTCTGCATTAGATGTCAACTATCTTGTAGCTAACTACTTTTGGACTTAAACTACCAATAAAAAAGATGTTTTATATTTTTTTTATTTAAATATTTTATTCAACATTTCATATTGGCTTACATGGTCTTTTGTAGGTGGTCCCACATTTGAATTCCATCAGACATATCATCAAAATAATAATGTAAATTTTCGATCTTTATTTTATTTGTCCTGCATTGGAAAAAGTATCTACGAAGTGCAGAAAAAAGTGTACTGAAAGTATTTCTTGTAGGAGGATATTTAAATGGAAACTGGTAAAGAAAACAAGCTCCCGATAACGTCTGTATGACTCCTGCATGACTTTACAACTAATTTAAAGTTAGTTTTGTCATAGCTAATTAGAAGTTAATTTTTTTATCGAAATAACGCAAAAAAAGCTAACTACATGTTGGTTACTTTAATCAATTAAAATTTTTTTCTGCAGGGAGGGGTCTTCACACCCATTTCTATAGTTTTGGTAAGCTGCTAATTGGTACTCGGTAATTTTATCAACTTTGAATGTCCTTTTCAGCTTTATTTTATTAGTCTGGTAAACTATGTTTATGAACAGCTGATTCGTAGCTTTTTTCCTATAAAAAAATAAATAAATTTTTACATAAAATTGAATTGAAGGAATTTTACTTAAGAGTCTGTCAGACTTAGCAACGCAATACATTTCGAAAAGGCTATCAAATTGAGAAATTTTCAGAAAGCAATTGCATGAGCAATCACATCTTGCATGTAAAGTGTCTTTTGAAAGAGGTTTTTTTATTTCTGAGAGGCGAATTTTAGATTGCTAGTGCAGCACGAGCAAGTTGAAATATATTTCCGAAATCGATTTGTGCTTTCTCAATTGCAGTCACATCCTGCAACTTTTATTTCTAAAACTAATTTTCGACATGTGACAGAAAGGTCTTTCTGGCTGTTCACACATCGAAATAAAATTGCTCTTTCTCAATTTGCCCCTTCATGGATTTATAGTGTGTCTATTAATCCAGTATCCGAGAGAAACTTTAGTATCGAACCTAAATCTGCGGATTTCACTTCGCCCTCGGTTATTAGATGTTCACCTAGGTGTCTTTTGCGTTTGCGCATCAGTGCAAGACAGTCTTCTAATATGTGCTGTGCAGTCTCGATATCCGTCCCGCAAGATCTGCATCGCTTCCGCGTGTAAATTCCCAGCTTAGTCAAGTGATAGTTCAGCCTGTAATGTCCTGTCAGAATTTCTATTACAATTCTTAAGTTATTCCTGGATAAGCTGATACATTCCTTGAAGCGTTTTAGGTTATATGTCCCTAAAAGTGCTTTGGACTGCTCTAGACTTGGTAGCTTATCCCCTTTTCTTAAGCCACAGAAGGGCCCTAAGCCGATGAAAGGGTTGATGCTTCTTTCTTCGCTAGTTTGTCGGCAATCTTGTTTCCTTTAATACTTATATGTCCCGGAATCCAGAGAACCCAAACTCAAGAGTATTCTGCTTGTCGAGGCACACCATCACCAGTTTAGATGTTACCTGGTGATATCTGAGGGTCTTAATAGCCGCTTGGCTGTCAGTCAAGATCGCGATGTTCTGCTCATTTTTCTATGGCGTATATTTCAGCCTGGAAAACGGACATATGTTTTCCCATGGATTCCGTGTATATTAACCTCGGTCCAACAACACCTACATACGCAGGTACCCTCTTCGGTCAATGAGCCATCAGTGTACTAGGTAATCATGTTTTGATTTATCCGATAGGTCCGGAATATGTCTACCCAGCTCTTCTTATCACTCAGATCAGTTATGAACCTCTTTGTAAGACACGGTAGCACTCGGTTTTTCAATTTCAGGGCACTTCTTCGTAAGAATGTCCAACTTCCTACGATTAAGAAACTTTTTTGCCCCAATATTGGTACCAGTTATTCTTAGTAGAACCCTTTTCGCCTGAGACTGTATTTAGTAAGATACATAAGAACTGAGCATTTCTTTTATTGACCTTTCAAATCGGACATAAATTTTTTGTAGTTTAAAAACTGGCCATAATCCTTGGTCATATAAAAAGTAGACACATATGGTCGGATATTAAAAACCGGATATAAATTGTCCATGATTTATAAACGGGGGAATCATTTTTTTGGAATTTTTCATTAATTTTCATGTTATCATTTAAAAACTGAACATACAAGATTTATGTTGACAAAATATAATACAACAAACGCATAGTTTTAAGGCACACATACTTACGTATTTATGTATTTTCGCCAAGGTTCATCAATCAATTCAAGGGTTATTGATTAAAATGATCGATCTATATAACAAAACATGTACCAAAATTTATTTATACGAGGATAAATATATTGTATATACATACTTAAACAGATATTCTTTTATACGAACATATATGTATGGCGGCCGCTGCGGTGTAGTGATTAGCAGTGCGCGCTTCCACTCCGAAGAACGCCGGTTCAAGCCCTGGTCAAAGCAACATCCCAAAAAATATAGAAAAAAGGTTTTTTCTTAACAGCGGTCGCCCCTTCCTTCGAGTTTATTTCTGCCATGAAAAACAGTTTCTCATAAAAATTCAATCGCCGTTCGGAGTCGGCGTAAAACTGTAGGTCCCTCCCCTTTGTGTGACAACATCAAGGCGCACGCCACAAATTGGAGGATAAGCTGGGCCCAACACTAGCATATGTGTAGGAGCCAATCTAGTATTATTATATATACATACATACATAGTACATACTTTGATAAGTAGTATAAACAAAAGCGTCTCACTTTCATAACATCTAATTTCTTTTCATTTTCTATACATTTCAGTTGGCCACCCGTTCCATCGAGCCCTCATTCGGCCTGCTCTTCGGTGATTTGCTACGCGATCTCGATGTCGGCACCACCGGCGCTGCGGTTATTATGAGCACACTCGATGTGTGCATGAATTTCTCAGGGCTCTTTGTCGGACCGCTACTCAAGGAGTTTTCGTACCGAAAGGTGGCTATCGCCGGCTCATTATTATGCGGCATAGGCTTGGCGGCCACCTCACCCGCAGCCAGCATGACACACATACTCAGTACGTACAGTGTGATCAACGGCATTGGTGTCGGACTTTCAACATCTGCCGCCTTTGTCGCGCTTAATCACTACTTCAAGAACAAACGCGGACAAGCTGTTGGATTATCCATGGCTGGCACAGCCTTGGGTATGCTGATAATGCCACAACTGGTACGTGTTCTGCTCGAGGCGTTCGGTTTTCGTGGTGCTGTGCTAATGTTAGCTGGTGTCGCATTAAATTCCACAGTCGGTGCTGTGCTCTTGCAGCCCGCCAAGTGGCATATGATCGATGAAGTGATCGATGAGGAAATGATGACGGTGCCGGTGTCGCCACCCACACCGGACGTTAAAGTCATACGGGAGGATGGCAACGAAGAAGACGCGTTACCTGAGTTAAACACGTTACTCTTTTCCAAGCAGCAATATATGCGCAAGAATTACTCTGAAATAGCGATGAACACAATGAATGGCACGCGCACAGGCATGCCAAAGCGTCCCACGTTTCCACGTATAATGTCGCTAGCCGGCGTGCAATCGGCGGTGAATACTAGCCAGTCTAACTCAGATGTGAATACGACGCTACGCAATCGCAAACATTCGGTTACATCGAATCTGTCGTACATGGATTTCACCGGTTCCATACTGCAGGTGCACATGAATGTAGGCGATGAGGAGTTTGAGCGTAATGATCGCGAGTTGAAGCGTGTCAACACTGCGACGGGTGGCATGGCGAATGCGCATCGAGATTCATTTATTAAAATGCGCCCTGCAGAGACTGATCAATATGAAGAATCACCGGAGAAGGAGATGGAGAAGAAGCCCGGCTTCTGGCGACGTTTCGCTGATCTCATGGATGTTGATTTATTGCGTGATAAAATATTTCTAAACATACTTTTCGGACTGTCCATCTTCTACGTCGGCGAGATGAATTTCAAAATGGTTACGCCATTCTTTTTTGCCAATCTCGGCTACAATAAAACAGATGTTGCCTTCTGCCTATCCATAACGGCCATCACAGATATTTTAGCGCGTATAATACTCCCGCCCATATTCGATCGTACTACCATCAAGAAGCGCACTGTGTTCTTGGTTTCCATCATCTTTGTGGGCATCACCCGTTCTAGTAAGTATAATTATACACGGTTCTCAAATACATACATACATGGGGAAAGCGTCCAACATATTTCTTTATTTAACTTTTTGTTCTGAGTCTGGCGCAGAGCAGACTGGATGAGAGGGTCCTTTACAGGGCCTATTTCTCAGATCGTGCTTATATAGGCTTTACTACTAAGACATGGAGTGGCAAACAGTCTTATGTTTAAAATATTGAATAATAACTAAAGTGCCAATAACTGTCGACATTTGACCGTTTTCCTAGTTTTTGAGAGCCTTGGAGCCTGAAAATCTTCTGCTTTTGAACTAAAACGTGACAAAATTTTTTTATAGTTTTGAAGGACTTCGGCAGGACTTAGAGTTGACCCGATACATTCCAGTTTATCGACAAATTTCAATAAATTGATAAATATCGATAATTCCATTAATTTCAAAAACACTAAATCCGATAACTCAACAAAATTCGATTAATCGACTAATTTCGAAAACACTGAAATTCGAGGGCTCGATAAATTTCGATAACTCAAAAACAGATACCTTTATAAGTTTTTAATTTTGACGCTCCATATTTTTCGAGAGCTATAAAAAATTTCGATAACTCGTTGCTCTCTGTTAACACGATAAAATTCGATAAGCAGTAATAACTCGATAAACTTATATAGCCTTGAGGTTTCGATAAATCGATATATTTTGAAAATTCCATAAACTTCGATTCGATAAATCGACCAATTGCGGTAGGTCAACAATTATCGATAAGTCAGTAAGTTGAAAGAACTCGATGCATTACGATAACTCGATAAACTTCGATAAGGCTACAAGTAATGATAATTCAATAAATATCGAAAACTTGATAAATTCTTTAACTTGTAAAATTTTGCTACTTATACCCATATACTTTTATAGCTCGATAACCATCCGTAAATTTCGACAACTAAATAAACATTGATCAATTTGAATAATTCGATACGTTGCGATAACCCGATAGATGTCCATAACTAAACTTCCATGATTCGATAAATTTCAGTAACTTTTATGACTGAATCTATTTCGATTCCTATCGAAAAATTTCAATTAATTTTCTTACTCTTAATTACTCTAATTCATCGTTATCATTTATGTCTTCATCTTCATATTTAGCTTTATTTCAAAGTTTAATTTCAAATACGAAGAAAAACAAAATGCGAAAACAGCTCGAATTGAAAAGGTTGCAACAACAACCATACACAAATACGGGAATTTTTAACCGACGATTTTGCCCGTAATTTTCAACCAACCTCCGTCCTAGAAAATTACCTTTCCAATGGTGTTCATGGTTTTGAAATTGGTTCGGTAGAATCGCCAAACGAACGAAGACAAAATTTATGTTAGCGTATTTATATATAGATGCTTTTTGAGTAGGACTGGACCATAATGTGGGCTAAGGGAAAGGCGAAACTCCTTCTTGATAAAGCCCCGAACTTGGTAATCTTAGAAAATGAAAGAGAGATACTTTTAGACTAGCAAAGTGTGCGGACTCTAACGAGTTTTGAGACGAGTAGAGGGATCTTCTAAAGATCTACAAGAAAGCCATACGTAGTGAGAAAAGAAACTCATGGCAGAATTTCTGCAAACGAATCGAGAGCTCCACCGAGACAACAGGACTAAGAGTTCTATAAACCCGGGGTCTGTAAACCAAAGACTCATTTAAAAGTACAACGGCGAGTGAACTCCATGTGACGAGAAATTTTCCGATATTTTATTGCAGGAGGAGGTGGTCTTGCAGTAGAAATGGTGAG